TCAAGGTCAAAAAGGTAAATGATTCTTCTTGCTTCTAGAGAGCCACCTGCAAACTACCTATCTTATGTTAGTCCCATAATTACATGAGACAAAGACACTTTGTCTTCCACCTCTGGCAGTTTTTCAGAGCATTGCAAATTCTCTTCCCTTATTCTAGTGAAGGATTTAACCCTCCCTTCATACAATATAGACATGCATATTATGTTGCTCAATGAAAAATTTGGTTGAAATATATCCTAAAGTCAGTGGTGTGCCTTGCACAATGTAATATTATAGTTTCCATTCTTTAGTTTCACATGCTATTTGTGCTTCTAAACACTGAAAAAAATACTTTTTTCCATAACAGAATGTGACTAAAGATTTATGTCCCTTGCTCTTTCCAGCAGACTCATGGCTCTCCCTACTGGTTCTGATAACAGCCTACAAATGATTTTTTGTACTTTATCATAGTAAGGTAGGAAGAGAGAGATGAGAATAGTTTCTGTAACAAGCAGTTGTATCATTCTCCACTCATACTTCCACACTTTAGACTATGCTTGATGAGTTTTAACAGTCCCTGTTACTAGTTTAATAACTCATCTCCTTTACATGACTTGCTCATTTTTCTTGCTTTGATGCTTTCCAAAAGGTGTATATTAGCAGTAGAGTTATGCAAAGTAAATGCTTCTGCATAACCCATTTGCAGTAGAACTAGCTCATACTCCTCAGCTGACTAGTAAACATGTTTCTAATTACATCAGTTGCAAATGTGTAAGTATCAGATTTTCTATATCTAAAGCAGATAGTAAGAAAATCTGACTGGGAAACATTTATTCATAAGCTTCTGAATAAAAACAAGGATATTGCAGGAATTGTTAGTACTTCAGCAGGTGGCACCAGCATGAAGTTAAAAGGCTGCGTGCTGCTGAAACAGAGGGGTAAAACTGAGGTCTTGATCCATACAAAAAATAAAAGTATTTTTCCAAAATTGGACTGTAAAAAACAACTTTTATCACAGTTATTTCCAAATGTAATAGCTGCCAGACTTGTTCAACAAATAAACCAACAAGACTATAATGCTATATTAGATTTGGGTTGGTAGGCTGTGAGCATCATAAAGAAAAGCTGGCCATAGAAAATAACTCTGGGTTGAATAATTATGAGTTGATTCACTTTATAATAAACAGAAGAACAAACAGAACAATATCTATAATTAAAATCAGGCTTTTGATTTCAAAAAGGAAGATTTTGGTCAAGCAAAGGTATGGAAATCAACAATTTACTGAGATGTGAAAGATGCTTCACCATGTAACACAGTGAGTCCACAGTAGCTGCCCATATCCATGTTCTTATTTTATGATAAGTGGAGGGGTGGCTGGGGGGACATGAGCACTAAGGCACATGGCTGACCGCCCAGAGGCTTCAAGTTCAAGGCCATAGCAGAAATGTTCGTAATGCAGCCTGTTAGATTCCAATGAATCTGCTAAATACCTTGTCACAAGGACATGAAAAAGGAAAAGGAATGGTAAGTGGAAACTAAGAGAGCTATTTTGCCATGCCACCCCAAAGTCAAGAAGAAGACAGGGTAGATATGTACCTTATAAACTAACTAAATAAGATATAAATAGGACAAACTTTTGTGAACTGGAGTCTACTTCTTCAGTTGCTAAATCATGGTAACTTAAGTTCTCACTGAAATAGGGATTAATTACTATGGTTTATCTTCTATTTATCCAGGGAAGAAGTGTACATCTATGCAATAATTGCAAAGCAGCTGATATGTGCTGAGGCTCCACCCAGCCTAACTTCTTGGCAAATCGATCCGATTTTCATATATCAATATCAGATTGGCACCAATATAAAGAAAATTGTCTATATCGGATATCGGCCTGATGGAGCCAATCATTTGGCCAATAAATGGCCATGCTGCATGCAGCCACAGTGCAGCACAGAGCAGAGCCAGCAGAGTGGACAGCTGCCTCCAGTTGGTAAGTTGCAAGGGGAGGGAAGAGGTCTGGGAAGGAAGATCATCACCCCCCATGGTGAGGGAAGGGGCAGGGGCAGGTGCTGCCCAGTCAAGAAAGGGGGCGGGGCATGGGACAGAGCCGCAGCTTGTGCGGTGAGGGCTGTTTCCACCACTGCTTGCACCCCAGGAGGATAGGGGCTGGGGGGCATGTGCCCCTGGATATGCACAACATGGGGCAGACTGCAGCTGCAGGGTGGAGCTGGAGCCAGTGCTTTTCTTGCTGGGGGCAAGGCTTTTTTTGCTGGGGATCGGGCTCAGAGTTGGAGTGGGCTCCAGTGGCACTGGGAGGGGGCTGCAGCCACTCCAAATTTTGCTGCAGCTCCAGTACCAGCCCTACACCACTGCCCAGTGCAGCCCTGGCTTTTCCTGGCACTTGGATGGAGGCAAGGCATTCAGCCACGGCTGTGCCAGGTGGCAGTGTGAGGCTGGGAGTGAAGCTGTGCTGAAATTTAGGGTAGCTGCAGCCTCCTCCTAGTGCCATTGGAGCCCGCTCTGACTCTGAGCCCGGCCCCCCGCAAGAAAAGCCCTACACAGTGCCAGCTCCAGATCCAACCCATAGCTGCATCCTGCCCCATGCCACAGATCTGGGGGCACATGCCCCCATGCCCCCACCTTCCTGGGGTGCAAGCGGAGGATGGAGCTGCACCCACCCTACAAGCCGTGCCTTCATCCCCCACCCCACTGCCCTGGCTAGGCAGTGCCTGCCCCTGTCCTCTCCCTCACTCACCGTGGAGGGCGTTGATCTTCCACCCCCCATGCCCCTTCCCTTCCACCACACCGGACTTACCACCTGATGGAAGCTGTATTGGATATCGGAGGCATCTTTAAATATTGGCTATCGGTATCGCCCCCCAAAATATCTATTGGTGCACCCCTAATTCATACCTGAAGGGATGAGACTGAAGAGTGCAGGGGCTGGAGTATAGAGAAGGCTGCACAGAGGTGCAGCAGCTATCTGAATTTTGCATCCCAAACAAGAAGGGAAATCTTAGAGAAAGATGCATTTACCCATTACAGACTAAGCGGGCAAATAACCACCCCAAGAAGACTAAGCAGACTGCATGCAATGTGGAAAAAAGGATTTAATCAAAAAGAAAGCTACATTGTGGATGTCACAAAACATAGGGATAATCTAAACAGAGTTAAACCTTGTTAGAAAAATAGGAAAAGATACGTCGGCCATACAAATAGTAAACAAGAAAAGAACTGGTACTGCTATACCATGAGGATGCAGAGACATAAAAGATAGTGTAGGTATGGCCCACAACAAAACTAAAGGAATATTTTGACTTGATTTACAGTAAGGCTGGTATTGTAAGACTATGATCCTTGTCAGACGTTACATTTATCACATGATAAATAATAACATGCCAAATTTTAAACCAGTTAATCCCTGGAAAAGGTATACCAGCCTCAAAGTTGCACATTGAAATATCAGCTTCTTTGTGGCACAGAACTATCCCACAATAATTTTAACATGTAGCCAGTTGGCATATTACTATTTGTCACGTGATACTTGCATATAATGCACAACAAATATAAAGTCTGCCAGAGTTCTGTGTAGGCTAACAGAAAAAGTACAGAGAAATGTAAATTACCTCATCCAAGCTAGAAGCAAAACCCAAGGACCTTATTTTCTGAAAGGTTGGGGGGGGGGGGGGGGGGGGGGGTTATAAAAACTGAAACCTGAAACAAAAATTCAGTTTTCATTTCTTCAGGATTTTTGTACTTCCTATTTACATTTTTATTTAACACCTTTTGCTATGGAAAAAGGGAAAATATAGTAAACACTGGTTAAATTACCATTCCATGAGGAAAGCAAATAATGGTACATTATCTAGTAAAGAGCAAGCTGGTAATGAGGAGGAGAGATCACTGATAGAGACCTGGAAAATGGCAATTAAAACCATAGTGGCAAATTATCTCATAAGGAAATAAACCAGAGTTCATTGTAAAGAGAGAGAAATGGTTGAAAAAAAAGTCCCTACATTTTTTACAAAAATTATATATAAAAAATTGCCAAAATAATCCTTTTCTGAAATCTGAGGAAGACAAGATTTTTTAAATGCATGGGGATGCTGTGCTATTTTATGGCCAGCATTACTTCAAAGGTAGAAAGTGTGCAGAATTAAGGTAAGTGATGGAAACATTAGTTCCCCCCCCCCCCACGCGCCATTATGTATATGCGGGTGGTCTTACCCCAAAATAAAATCTGTGCCACTGCCAAGAAAAATAAAATCCTATTTGTTACAGTTTCAGTCTAGGGTCCTGTGTCTTAAACGTCCTTTTTTGCAGTGAATGGAGGGAGGGGTTTTTCACCACAACATATATGATCATGCACTATGATGAATATACTCGGGGTGGGGGGGGTGAGGCAGAGTTATGATTAATTTTTCCTTCAAGATTAGTTCTGCTTAATTTAAAAAAATCACATTTACACAAAGGCATAACTTTCTATTTTAGTGTCAGGGGCCATAGATGTGGCGGAGAGTACACTTTTCCTTATGCAGGTGGTAGTGGTGATGACAACATGGACTGTTGCTGCTGCCTCACCACAAGCTTGCCTAACAGGGGTTGTGGCAGTGGTGGCACAGGCTCCCTGTAGACTGCTATTTTGGCAACACTTCTGAATTGGTGGAGAGAGCTGGTGCCCCAGTTTCCCCATCCTCCTATCCCCAACTTATGCTACTACATTTACAATTCTCCAGACTTTCCTAACTTGAAAACAAACCACACCAAAGGGATCATAGCTAGAATACATACATTCACTTTTACTTTTTCCTCTAAAAGTTCTGAATGATAAAAACCCATTCTCTGTCACTATCTGTCCTCAGGTAATCCACAGATTTGGGGATATTTTTATTAAATTGTACAGTAATTCCTCATTTTCAAATCCTCTTGAGATGGCCCAGTCAAGCCGGTCTTTGATTGTTCTAATTATAACAATTTAAGGTTTCTTCTAAAAATGGTAAGTACAAAGTGCTATTATACTCACAATTTATGAAGACTGTTAAGTCCCACAAAGATTTCTGGGGTTAGACAACCAATTCTATTATTGGAAAGATCCCTGAAACAAACCAACCAAAAAAAAAAAATCAATGAAAATTTCTTGCATATTATTGGCATATATATCTACATAAACACAAAGGCTTTCTTTAATTTTCACTCTAAGGAGCTACAAAGGAAAACCTAAAAGCTAAACTAAAAGCTAAAATTTTTCAGAAATATATTTGAATTTGTTAGTTTTCATACTTTATATAGTTAAATCATACCAACATTGAGAAGAAACTGAACTTTATATTAATTCCTTCATAAATGAAATGTGTCTTAAGCAGAAAGTCTTCAGAATATTGTTGACCAACTTTACAACATTTTTGCAATAATTGTTTATTTCATGACAAAAATGGCATGTATTTTACAATTTTACATAATGAATTCAATATTCATCTTAGATTGAACCCAAAATATAATTCATTTTGTCCCTTCTAAGACCTTTTATCATACCTAGTCTCCTGCCTAGCTGAAGATGACTGAATGAGATTCTGAAGCAATCAGAGGCATACTAATAAAAAAGAAAGGTCACTCTTAAATGCATGGCATACAATTTTCCCCTGAAAGTAAGGTTATATTATAGTAATTCACATATACAAGAGGGTACGCTCTCCAGAGACAGTTAATGGGGCTCCGACATTTACTAGACAACAGATATAAGAAAGGGAATTTATTCTGCTCTTTGTGCATTCTGAACAACTACCCTCTGTCAGATGTCTGGTTTTTAACTTTGTTCCAACTTTCTTTTCAAATGTGTTTTCTTGGATAACTGCAGTGCTCTAATAATTTTCAATCATCAGAGATCCTTCTACAATAGTGAACAACTTTTTGTTTGGAAACCAGAGCTGTATTTCAACTGGAGAAAGCCCAGAAGTACGTAAAGAGCCAGGAGATCTGGATACAAACTTAGTAAGGGAAAGGCAATAGTGGAGAAAATAGGACAATAAGTTATATACCAGAAAGATTTATATACTAGTGTAAGAAGCATGGAGAATAAATGGGAATAATTGGAGATCCTTGTACAATCACAGAATTATGATCTAATTGGGATTACAGAAATGTGATAGGACAGTTCATATGACTGGAGTACAGTCACAGGTGGGTATAACTTGTTCTGGAAGGACAGGCAGGGGAAATGAGGAGGTGTTGCCCTATATATAAAGGAGATGTACGTGTCTTCTGAGGTGCAACATGAAGTGGAAGGTAGGTCTCCTGGAAGCCTCTGGGTAAAACGTCACGGAAGAGAGCAGCAAGGGGGATGCCATGGTGGGCATCTGCTATAGGCCACCAAACCAGGTGGAAGATGTGGATGAGGTCTTCTTTGATCAACTGACAGAAATTTCCAAATCACATGACTAAGTTCTCATAGGAAACTTCAATTACTGGTGACATGCTTGGAGAGAAACACAATAACTTTTTGCTACAGTGGGAGAGAGGCCAACTTGGGAGGAAGCTCTCTCAACTTGATGTTCACAAACAGGGAGGAATTGGTTGAGACTGTGACTGTGGAAGGTAACTTGGGTGACCGTGACCATGAAATAATATAGTTAAGGATCCTAAGAGAAGGATGGGAGAAGAGCAGCAGAATAAAGACAGAAGGCTTAAAAACAAGATGACTTCAACGCTGTGTTTTAAGGAAACTGTATTAAAGGGAGCAGGAGTAAGCTATCCTAGTGCAATGAAAAACATGAGAAGTGCAACTGGAGACTGGCCTGTCTAGAGACCAGTCTTTTCAATGAGCTAAATCTCAAAAAGAAATCCTACAAAAAGTGGAAAGTTGGTCATATTACTATGGAAGGTTATAAGAGTATCGCATGGACATACTTGGAGAAAATTATGAAAGCCAAGGTGCAATTTGAGGTGCAATTGACAAAGAACATAAAAGACAAATAAAAAGGGATTCTACAAGTATGTCAAAAGTAAGAAGAACCAAAAAAACCATAGGTCTCTAAGACAAATAGACACCAACATTTTGGTAGGTATGCCACAATTAGGCCCACACTCTCCCTGAGTGCTACTCCAGTTCTTTTCTTCTGCCTGATCTGCTGCTCTGCTTTCTTCTCCCTGCCACTGTGCAACATGCAGAGGCTGCCTGTGCCACGTGTGACAGCTATGCTGCAGGTTGGCTACCTCTGGCTTAGATAATAAAGAAGACACATGATGGAAAGCAGGCTGAATTATTCAAGGCCTTTTTTACTTCACTTTTCACAAATCAAGCCAGCTACTATATGATGAGCGTAGTTGACAGCAAACAGAAAAGCAAGATGCTTTCAAGTCACCAGGATCAGATGGGATGAAGCCTAAGATACTGAAACAAATTGCTGAGGTAATTTCAGAGTCACTGGCTGTCCTCTTTGAGATCTTGTAGAGGTTGGGTAAAGAGGTTGGGTGACTGGAGAAGAGCATATATAGTTCACATCCATTAGAAAAGGACAAAGGAGGATCTAAGGAATTTCAGACCAGTCAGTCTGACCTTGATACCTGGAAAGATTATGAAGCAGGTCCTTATGTAGTAAAACCCCCAGTTTTTCTTTTTTTTTCTTTTAAAATGCATTCCCTCCCCTTCCCGAACCATTTCTGACTTTTTCTTTCCCTCTCTATTCCCTATAGATAAGTATAAGTGAGCTAAAACATAGGATAAGCTTCAGCATTTTATTTTGGTAGCAAGTTCTATTTGTTTTCTTTTTTTTTCTCCTTCTTTATATTGTATAATTATTATGTTTATATTGATTTTTCTGTTCTATATTACTGTTTTACTGGTACTGTATGATTTAGGCCTGCATATGTAAGTTAGCATAAGTCATGTCAAGTTTCCATTTTGTTTCAAGTCTCCATCCTGTCCCCAGGCCTGGTTGTGTAACCCATGAATCACACCTACCCCTCCTATGTAACTTGGTTCCTGAATGAATGGGGATGAATGAGGGTGCTTGAGAGACAATGGCAGTAGGTCTAAAAATAGCTCCCTCTGAATGACTAAACCATCAAAACCAATACCTGGATCAATGACCCAGCCCTTGGAACCACCCTCAGCATTCAAGAAACAAAAGAAAAGGCAACCCACCATTGTGTCAGGCTGCACATGCTCAGTTAGAACACCTGGAGCCTTCTGGGACAGAACTGATATTGCCTGGACAGGCCCTCCCCCTAGGAGATCAGAGGTAGTCTGCCCCATAAAAGGGGTAGTGAAGACTGACTCTTTGTGATGCCCTCTCCATCTGGACCAGCACCATGCCACACCACCTATCTACCCAGAGCCCCTGCCAGCGATCCCCTCTGGACAACCCCTACTGGACAAGGACCCCTTTCCAGCCTGGATATGCAGCTATCACCCCCCCACCCCCTCTTCAACCAAGAACTTCGACTCTGCTTCTCTTCCCTACCTAGACTCCAACTTTCCCACTAAGTCTCTTTCTCCTGCTGTCATTGTGAGTGCTTGTGTGTGCCTGTGCATGTGTGTGTGTATGAACCAATAACTTCATGGGGCTGTGTAGAGTGTTGTCTGTTTAATAAAACTGTTATTTGGACCCCTAAGTTGGGTTTTGCTTTACTATGGTTTGGCCCTACTTCAATCTCTGCTCCTCGCCCCTCTCTGTCTCATTTCTCCCTCTCCTGCTTCTGGCTCACTGCCACCTCCAACACCTGTCCTGAGCTCCTCTCTGCCTCCAAACCCCCTGTTTCTTTGCCACTGTCTTATCCCCACTGCCTTTTCGTTTTCCCCTGAGTAACCAGGTTTCTGCCTCAGTTTCTTTCCTGGCTGTCTCCTCCTTGCCACCACTTATCTCTCCGCCCCCCATCTCAGCTGTCTGCCTCAGTTTCCAGCCCCAGTCTACCTTAAGTAAACCCAAACCTCAGTTCCTCAGCCAGCTTCTCTGTAGTCCACCGGTTCTAATCCCAGTTCTGGCAAATTTCACTCCCTACACTTTAACACACACTCTCTCTCTCACCTTAACCTTCCCCCAAGTATCCCAGATACCCCAAGCACACACATATACACTGTACCATCCAAGTTGGGAACTTACCTGTGTGTATGTGTGGGTGGGTTGCATGTGTGTGTGTGTGTGTATGCCATTGTGTGCATGGTATACAAATTAGTGATCTGTGTCTAACTTTTGGGGTGTATAGTGTATGTGCTTGAATTGGTGATAGGTATGCATGTGCCTAGGCTGGTTTGGCTGTGTATGTGCCTGAGCTGGTAGTGTGTGTGTGTGTGTATATGTGCAATTGTGTCACACCCTCCTGTCTAACAGTGCTATATTGAGATCCTGAGAGTTGGCCTGACCCCACAGGGCAACACTTAAGGCATCCACTGTGAAACACCTAGAGGAGAACAAGATAATCAGGAACAGCCAGCATAGCATGCATGAACCAAAAATCAAGTCATGAGTGACCAATTTGATTTCCTTTTTGATACAATGATGGGCTCTGTGGATGGAGGAGGGCAGCCAATGTAATATATTTTGATTTTGGAAGTCTTTTGACACCGTCTCCCAAGATATCCTCATTAATAAGCTAAGAAAATAAAGAGTAGACGAAAGTACTGCAATGCAGATACATAACTGGTTGGATCGTCATGCTGAATGAGTAGACATTAATGGCTCAATGTCTAGTTTGAATGAGATATTGAGTGGGGTTCTTCAGGGCTTCATGCTTAGCAAATTTACAAATGATACCAAGTTGGGAGGAGCTACAGACAATCTGGAAAGTAGAGTCAGGATCCAAAATAACCTGGATAGATTCATAAAACGGTCCAAAAATCGATCAGATGAAATTCAAGGACAAGTACAAAGTCCTGTATTTAGGATGAAATAATCCCATGTGCAAATACAGACTGAGGAATGACTGGCTAGGCTCTAGTACTGCAGAAAAGGACTTGGATGTTACAGCAGACCATAAGCTGAATATGAGCCAGTAGTGTGCTCATTATGTAAAAAAGTAAAAAAAGTCAACAGTATACTGGGTTGTATTAACAGGAGTGTGCCTTGAAGATCAAGGCAAGTTCTGTTCTGTTTAGCACTGAGTAAGTACAGTGTCCAATTTTGGCCCCCACACTTCAAGAACAATGTGGACAGATTGGAAAGAGACCATTTGAAAGCAACAAAAGAGCAGGTTAGACAGACACTGAGCTGAGATAATTTAGTCAGGGATGATCCTGCCTTGATCAAGGGCTGGGCTACATGACCTCAGGATGTCCCTTCTACCCCAATTTTCCCACAATCCTATTACTATAAGTATTTAGCCACTTTTGTCTTCCTCCTTATTTCTTCCTATTATTTGTACATTTGGCAACATGCATGTGAACCAGGTAAGAATGAAAGACTAATAATCTTCAAAATGTATTTACCATTTTATACCTAAATCTTTTACCACTTGGAGACCTAGCCAAGGAAAGAACATGGAGTCTTTAAAACTTTGCTGTGCTCCAGAGGTGATTTAAATCTAGAATTCTCTCTCCTACCAGGCAGTGGAAAAATTCTTGTGCTGGTAAAGATTTAATATACTACTACAATATAAGTATTTTTAAATACTTTTCAGTGACATTAGGTGGATAATTCCAGAAAAAAGTTGGCTGCTTATCAATAATTATACTTTTGTATTTCTTTTTATTGAAAGGAGCACTGCTCCATAACAAGCAGAGGACAAGAAAATATAACATCAGATTTTTTTTAAATACTTTTTTCTATTATAGAATGCTCTAGTGGCATTGACATGAAGTCTGTAACATACTTCTGTTTTGTTTTAGGGGAAAAAACATAGTTGCCAAATCATAAAATACTTGTGCAATATTTTCTCTCAAATAAATAAATGCTTGGCTGAATGTAGAGTGAGTAGGGGAAATGGACCACACCACGTAGCAAATTTGGGGTATCCAAACTAGATTTGAGTTGGAAAAAAAAATCTTCCTACCTTATTCATGTGGTTCAGAAGTGACACGTAGCAACAGGATATTTCTAACATAGTAGCTAGACACATATGCCCAACTCGACCATTATCATCAAAATGAGTGCTATTTTTCACAATATATTGTGCAGGTTGGCAATATCTCTTCACTGTAAACTGTGTTTCCTAATGAAACATTAGCAAACAGAAATAACAGCTTGCACCAGCTTGCTGCACAGAACTCTCAACTGACCCATAGTTTAGCTTAGGCCTAGTTTGCCTCACGTCATACAAATCTGTTGTTCATTTTGGGGAAAAGCATCCACACCAGAAGACAGGCGATCCAGGCTGACTTGGACAGGCTCAGCAAGTGGGCGGATGAGAATCTGATGGTGTTCAACGCCGATAAATGCAAGGTTCTCCACCTTGGGAAGAAAAACCCGCAGCATCCTTATAGGCTCGGCAGTGATATGTTGGCTAGCACTATGGAAGAAAGAGACGTGGGGGTCATCATTGACCACAAGATGAACATGAGCCTGCAGTGCGATGCTGCGGCTAGTAAAGCGACCAAAACACTGGCTTCCATCCATAGATGCTTCTCAAGCAAATCCCGGGACGTCATTCTCCCCTTGTACTCGGCCTTAGTGAGGCCGCAGCTGGAGTACTGCGTCCAGTTCTGGGCTCCACAATTCAAAAAGGATGTGGAGAAGCTTGAGAGAGTCCAGAGAAGAGCCACGCGCATGATCAGAGGTCAGGGAAGCAGACCCTACGATGACAGGCTGAGAGCCCTGGGGCTCTTTAGCCTGGAAAAGCGCAGGCTCAGGGGTGATCTGATGGCCAGCTATAAGTTTTTCAGGGGTGACCATCAGTATCTGGGGGAACGTTTGTTCACCAGAGCGCCCCAAGGGATGACGAGGTCGAATGGTCATAAACTACTACAAGACTGTTTCAGGCTGGACATAAGGAAGAATTTCTTTACTGTCTGAGCCCCCAAGGTCTGGAACAGCCTGCCACCAGAGGTGGTTCAAGCGCCTACATTGAACACCTTCAAGAGCAAACTGGATGCTTATCTTGCTGGGATCCTATGACCCCAGCTGACTTCCTGCCCTTTGGGCAGGGGGCTGGACTCGATGATCTTCCGAGGTCCCTTCCAGCCCTAATGTCTATGAAATCTATGAAATTATTCTTTGTAAAATATTTACATCAAAAATGTTGATTCATGAAACTGATCTTACAGAACAGTAATATTCCTCTGTTTTAGAAATTAATCCCACATTTCTACTGCTTCCCAAACTTTTTGTTATGTTCTCTTCTGTTAACCTATGAAATAACTCATTTTGCCATTGTGAATACCAAATTATCATAACATAATCAGTTCTTAGAAAGAATTATACAAAAGAAAAATTGTTCATTTTTATATGGAGTTGACAGCCTGCAATTTGCCAGCTGACTCACCACAACCATGTGTACTTCAGCTGCCTGTGTTACGTTATCTTTAGCCATCAAAGTATTGCTCAAGGGACATATATGAAAGAATAGGATGTGAATGTAAGCAAGATTTCAAGTAATTAGTGTTCACACTACAATAAGAGCTTGGTTCCAATGAAGAAATTTAGTGATCTTGTGTAGTCATCTCCTACCCAAAAAAATTTTAAAGCAGTGCTTCTCAAGCTTGTTACACTCCAGGCACTGGTCACAAGACTCAAGGTACAGCTTGGAAAATGCCAGCTCTTAGCTTTTTTTATTATTATTATTGTGGAAAAATCAAAGATTTTTTTTAGATTTCACCCAGTTGTGTCAGCATAACTCTACCCCCTGCAAAATGGAAATGGGACCTGTCCACCAACAGAGTGCCTAACTCCTGTTCTCACCAAGGCATCAGGCCTTGCCCCAGACTTAGATGCCAGATGTGCCCTTTCATTAAGTCATATCATATCACCAAATAACATGGATTTTAACATCCGAGATGTATTTACCTGCACCTCTACCAACATCGTACACACCATTATCTACTAACAGTGCCCTTCTGCTGTCTACACTGGACAGAGTGATCCTTACACGTAAGGATGAATGAACACAGATCAGACATCAATTCCTGAAAGGCATAAAAGCCTGTGGCAGGACAGTTTAACCCCCCTGGACATTCAACAGATGACCTCAGGGTGGCTGTTCTTAGACAACAAAAGTTTTTAAATGACCTTGAATGGGAAATTGTGGAACAAGAAATTATCCACGGACTGGATTGTATTAAGAATGGTCATCCATGGTCATCCAAGACTGTGGATTCTTATCCCATTACCTTGATTATCTTATATAACCCTATGTCACTAGGGGGTTAACTGGTTTGTTTTTCTCTCTCCTATCCATCTTCCCTCTCTCAGACATGTTCCCTTCTTTTTCCTCTTCCTTACCAACCCTCTGCTTTCTGTTTAGAAGCTTTACTTCTTGCAGTCCCTTCACAGCATCTGATGAAGCAACCCTCCTGCTTACAAACGTTTATGCTTTGCATCTCTGATTTGGTTAGTCTACAAGGTACAAATCTTCCCTGACTTCTTCCTGACTTCAGACTAACATGACTAATTACCTCTCTTTTACAGGTTACCCATTCTTCCCACAAGAGGTCAGGGTTGTGTTAATGCAGTATATGGTCACACCAGAGTAACATTATTTTCAACATTACAGTACTATTAATTTACGCTGTACTGTATAATGACAACAATAATAATAGCAATTTGTGTATACAATGGAAAATGTAGAGTTTATACTATACCACAAATACATATGATTGTGTACCACCATCATTCATTGTTTCATAAAATTGTTATCTATTATTTTTACATGAATATATGTGATTCATCATTTAACATCATTCACCATGTGTAGAGTTAGAAATAATGTTCGTATACAAGACATGCAAATGAGCAGAAATGGAAGGCCACTGCAATTCTTTGGCCTTTTTATGCCTGAGATTCTTCACTGAATATGCTTTTACAAACTTAAACTTCAAAGCAAGAATAGATAAATAGATGTCAAGGCATACAGTTTGATAGTTTGAAATGTGACCCGCCCCCTCCTCCCCCTTATTTTGCATTAAATTAGAAGAGAGTTGTGTTTTCACACTTGGACTCCAAAATATACAATTATCATATGACTTTTTAAAGTATCAGCACTCACAAAAGATATTAAATATAATGTGGTCAAGGAGATTAGGTAAAAAAATAAGAAAGAAAAGTAGACTTAGTGTCTAGAACTGGTGAAAATAAATTCTCCAGCATGTAAAACCTTTCTTTCTAAAAAAAGTGTTTATGAACCTCTCCCACAGTACCTATAATAAATAAAAGTGGATCCAGCATAACAGGTGTGACAAGAAGCTACTGCTGTTCATTTAAAGTGCATAAGATTTAAATTTCAGAAGAATTTTTATTTAATATAAGAGCAATTCACTAGCTAAGCATGGTTTTAAACTCAACAGCTACCTGCTTGTTTATTTGAACATTTATCAGGTTGTTTCCATTCCAAAAGGCAAAAGATAATCTGAAATACTCTAAAAAATGTCTCAAACTGGAGAGAGGACAACTGGAGCAAGACACATATAGAACAAATAAAAATAAAAAGGATCCAAGTACAGTTTGGAATTTTGTCTTTGCCCCAAGTCCTTATGTTATTGTTACTTGATGGCATATATGAGTTCCCTCAGGACAGAATATCAATATGAACACAATTTTCAGGGTAATTCAAATGGAATTAATACTTACAGGCGCTTCAGTTCTGAAAGTCCATAGAAGGCCCCAGGCTCAATTGTGCTAATCAAGTTATTCTTCAAATCTCTAGAAATATATATATACATATATATGGTAAGTGGAGCAATTAATTATTACTTTACCAATAATACTGTTCTCATACATGAACATATCAGCAATTTTTTAAATGCTAACTCCTATTTAACCTCAAAATAAGAGTGAGTGCATCTTAAAATTCAAAACAAAAATGTATTACTATACTTACAGTTTGGAAAGAAAAATATTTTTAAATAACTTAAGTTATATAAGATACAGTGCTAAGAAACCATTCTGTTTCTGTTAGTGTTCTTTTTAAATTTCCCAAACAAGTTTGCCAGCCTTACAAGCCTCAGAAATTTTTTTTTTATCAGTTAATAATTTCAGCAAATGAATAAAGTCAACATCACAATAACCTACTGGCTTTCTTCTCTATTATAATGTAATGTATATTTTATATGCAACATTTTCTTCCCTTCTGCCTAATATAAGTAGAGCAACTGATATGTGGTACACTGTATGGATAAGTCAGCATACTGCATTGGCAAGCGTACAGTTTCTCGTATCTGACAGATAGGTGTTTCATTTTGCTCTTGGTAGTTATCCAGGGGATTAGTTGTTGTACAGATTAATATTTTCCTGGCATTACCCATTTCATCTGCTTCTGGTGCAGAGCTTGAAGCAGTGCCAGTGCTCTCAATTTAATCCCAACTGACTTGAATTCTAAAGAAATTGTTTGGGGTGTAATTAGATGGGCAGGCATCAGGGATATCCACTTCAACATCTTGTAGACTTCTGAGACCAGATTCTATACCACCTATTAAACAAGTAAGTGGACTTAGGAAACTAAATGTGATTTTATCCCATCCTGCACAAGCCCCTAAGAGACAATTAATGAAAAGCGTGGAGGAATCTTCCCCCACCTCCTGTGTTTTTGTGATAGTTTATCATAAGAAGATGACAGTTTGTTACAAAAGTAGATGCATTAGTGGACTTTCTGGACTTGACTAGTGTGGAAGAGAATATCACTTAAACCACTGACAGATAGTAAATTTAAGGCATGATGGGATCTAATCCACAATCCCAACAATTCCACCTCCTGCCATGCCCCATCTACATGGAGGGATGCACAATTTGGGGATAGGGAATTGGATTCAAATCACACTTTATATGCCAGTGCAGAGAGAGCCTGGGATCATGATCCCAGATTTCCCCTGCACCAGCAAGTCAAAAGCCAGGTGCCTGCAAGCAGCCGATTGCCATCTGGGGCCTTAAAACTAACTGGGGTATGGAACTGGCCCCCACCAGACCCTGGCCCCAGCTGACAATCAGCTAAGCATCAAAACCCCAGTTAGGTGGTACACATGGTTTTACTGGTCCTGGTGCAAAGGACCCCAGGATTGGGCTTGCCACAGCCTGATCCCAGGTTCCCTGTGTGCTGGGATGTGTAAAGTGAAGTTTTTACCAGTCCTGGTACACAGGGACCATGGTATCCAGGAACACCTCCCTGATCCCAGGGTCCTGTTACAGTGGGACCTTTAAGAACTGCATATGCAGCTGGTCTGCACAGTGCACACCATTTTCCCTGGTGAATGGAGACCTTAGAATAGAAGAGTGGCTCCTTGACCCCAGGATCCCCAGGGGCTGGGGATGTCAGAAAACCATGTGTGCAGCCAAGCTGCACATGCAGTCTTGAAAAGGTCTAGGGTTTAGTGAGCCTGAGATCAGGGAGGCACCCATCATCATCACAGATCATTATAGAGAAGTAGGGCTAGAAGAGACCTCCATAGGTCATCTAATCTAATTCCCTGCCTGAGATAGGATCATCCCTATCCAAACCATCCTATACCACTCCACAAAGTTGGGCTCACCACACCTCCATCTGCCTCTGGGGGTCAGGTGGAGATCCAGGGACTGCTCTTACCTGCAGTCCAATTGGATAAGGGACAGCTATTTCCTGGACCCTGGGGTTGCCCCATACTGGATCCTGACACACAGCAAGCATCAGGATCAGTCACGGACCAGCCCCAACCAGCCATATTCAATTTAATTATACATGGAATAACTTTGTGACTTACTATATTATAATATAACACTTTAAATTGACTTGAACATGTAGCCGGTTTACTATTTAAGGCATGATTACCCTGTTAATCCTATCTTGAATGTAATGTATGTGAGGGGTCTCAGGCACCTAAGACTACTTACACACTTAATAGGTGGAAGAGAATCACTGGTGTTCATCATTTAACTATTTGAAAATGATAACAGATGACTGGAAATTAATAATAATAGTGATGTTTTTCTCAGACTGGCAATAGTAGCATACCAGTACCAGTACTGATAACACCAAAGTGACAATATATCAGAATCACTATTAGTCATTACTGCCATGGCTTTCTACTTTACTGAAAATAGACAACATGTTTGGTGAAAGACAGATTTTGTTGACATCAACAGGAGTTTTCCTATTGATCTCACTGACACAGCAATCAGCAGAGATCCAGGTTTTCCATTCTCCATGAAAAAACACAGTAAAACCCAGATTTTCTCATTTTAAGGAGAAAACCCCAGATTTTCTCCTTTAAAAGGAACTGCTCCTTTAGGAAACAGTGGGTTTTCCCTTCCAGTCTGGCAGAGTTCTAGCCTGCAAGGTGCTGGAGGGAGCAGAAGGAGGGCAGTCAGGCACGTGGCACCATGTGCATGTGCACAAGCACACATGCACATGGCCACCATGCACCCTGGAGAGCAGCTATTGCAGCTCCCTCCAGGTAAGTGCGGATGGGGAGACTGAGGCCCCCATAGTAAGGAAGGCAGGGAGTTGGGCAGGGCCAGGGCTGCTGCCCAGCCTGGGCAGTTATGTGGGTCTTGGGGCCTGGGATCATGTGGGGCTTCAGGGTCCAAGCAGGGAACAGAATGGGGCCATGGGTGGCTTGTCTGGGGAAGAGGTGGGGAGGCTGTCTACTCACTACTGTGTGAACTACCGGGACACATGCCCCCCAGATTTGTGTGTGGAGTGGGGGTGGGCCACCCATTGGGGGCTCAGGCTCCCCCCTTGCTGCCTTTCCCCCAGGGCTTCCATGGTCCAGCAGGTGAGACCCGGCACAGCAGGGCAAAGTGGAGTGGGGAAGCTCAGTGCTGCCACTGCAAGCCCTGCACTGCCATGGTGAGGCACCCCTGGCACGCCCAGTGGCAGTGGGAGTGGAAGCAGAGTTGTGCCTCTCATTGCTGCCGGGCAGGTAGGCAGTGACTCACTTTGGTGGTGCAGGGCTCGCAATGATGGCACCAAGCTTCTCCACCAGGCCCACTCTGCCCTGCTGTGTTAAGTCCCACCCACTGGGCCAGAGGCCCCAGGGGGAGGGCAGCAAGCGGTTGAGTCCATGCCTGCAGTGGGCAGCACGCCACTCGCCTCTCCCCACACCCACAGGCTCCACTCAGGCTGTGCCACCCATGGTGGGGGGAGCCAGGGCTCAGGTTCTCCTGCAGGGGGCTGCAGACCCAGGTCCCTGGCCCCATAGCCCTGGCAGCCAGGGGTGGGGGGCTATGGTTGAGGATTAAGGGGCACCAGAATATCAGGGTTGCTCAGTGCCACAAAGTAGGGGGGGCGGAGCCTCAGTGGGAGCCACTTCCTCATGGATGAGGGGGGCAGGTGGAGTCTGATTTTATATTATAAAAAACCCAAAATCAAATGTCAAAATTTATAGGTATTTAGAATGTATTTTATTATAGTGATTGAGTCACTGGTAGGCTTCCAAATTGCTTTAAAATTGTAAATGTATCAAAAAAATTTGTGTTCAACTGATATATATATATATATATATATATATATATATAGTGGTATTTCATTTTAATCACAGAAAAACATGGATTTGGGGGGTTTTAATCAGAGAATTTGTGTTTTTATCAGAAAATTTGCAATTTTTAAACAGAGAAAACCAGTATCTCTGGTAATCAGTTCATTTCATTTAACTTCCTAAAATTAATTATGGAAATATGACATTATGATTTCTTACATAAAAGCAAGTCCCAGTTGTCTGTATCTGTGAATATTTGAGTTTTTCTTAATAACTCAGTTATGTGGTTTTAAAGCATCCCTCCTAATCATCTCTCTTCTTGGTTTGCAAGATATATTTAGAAAGTTACTTTCTGTTGTAAATTTGATTGGGATATGCATGATGTGATCAATAATGCATCTAATAAAAAAAGCTTATCAGCTCAAAGGTTGTACAACAACTCTGTCTACACATAGTACACAAACAGAAACTGCACCATATACTAAAGATATTGTTTATAGGAAATTACAGTTCATTGTCATTAATATATTTTATAAATCAATACTTTATTTATATAAGCATAGCAATGACATGGCAAGGACTAGATCTACTTATAAATCAATAGGAAAATGTATTTTTAGTTTTCTTCTGAATGAAGTAACTGGTATTGCTTATCATTAATCTCATAGGATTAACCAGAAGAGCTGCTTTACATAATACAATTTGTAGTTAAATTGCACTGTAAGCTTAGTATTTTGCAATATTTTGAACTAAATCACTTGTATTCTGTTTTTACCCCTTGCTTCTATGGTACCTGAACTTTGTTGTAAAGTCAACTGTGTAGTGATAAAATCAACCGTGTAGTGTTCTTAAATCAATATTTGTTTTTTATCTCCTTTCTCATCTGTGTAGTGCTTTCTTAATAAAGATAATATCATACCTTCTTATGTTGTGACATCATTAAAACAAATCATATATGAAAGTTGAAAAGGGAGCTTGTTTTTAAAACCAGAAATAAAACTGGGTTTACCTAGTAATCCTATTTAAATTAAATGTTGGATCATAGGAAAGTAGGACTAGAAGAGACCTCAACAAGAGGTCCTAAAATGGGGCCAAAGTCATAATAGCTAGCTAAGGGCATGCAGCAAATGAAGCAGGACAGAAGGAATGATGGGAGAAATACACATGTACAGACTGGTGGAAGACTCACTCTCATTCTAAGCAAATGCAATATAATCCTTTTCCCCTTAGGCTGTATGTTAAACCACAGCAGATCTC